CATTTGTGAAGTTACAATACAGGCCTTCCGAAAAGCCGTTAAAACCTGGCTGTGTCGGCAGGCCTGGGGTTGATGAGCTCCCTTCCCCTCTCGACTTGTGTGGCTGTTGGCTATTTTAACTGCTTGTCTTGTATTTTTGTGTTCCCTTTCCCCCCTTGAGTTGTTTGCCGCCCTGAGTCCCACAGGGAATAGGGTGGCATATAAATAAAACAAATCTCAATCTCTCAATCTCTAATCAATATGAATACACCCAGTCCTTGTTCAGTGACCAAGTTCTGTTCCAGTGATTGTTAAGTGAAATAATTGCTAAGCATACGCTTCACACAAAGAGAGAGAGACAGAGACAGATGCAGTGAAGATTACCGGATGCTACTGTCTCATTTAGATAAAGTTCTCTTGTACAGCATTAATCTCATTCTGGTGTGTATTGTTTTCTGGCATATGAATTTGGTCATAAATATGTGTACTGGTTAAAAATGGTTAATAAATGCCCTTTTTTACCATTGCATTTACAAGTGATCTCTAAATGTAATAGTTGCTAAATGAATGACAGTTTAGCACATTTCTTCATTCAAGTAGACTAAATGAAATATAATCAGAATCCTTTTGCACATAAACAACAGAACTTCGTTGTTTGATTTTTTTTAACTAAAACTGCTAGTATTATGTGTGCTTGACCCCATGCCTGTATTGTAACTTGCTTTGCCATAGTAAATAGGGATGCTTTTCTAAATAAACCTAAGTGATTAAAAATAGTCCTGCATACTTCTAGTAAAAGCAGTTGTACTGAATTTTCACGTCTTCATTAAGGGGAAGGAATTTTAAAATTTGTGGGAGCCCTAAGCACTTGGTGCCTTTGCTATTGCAACCAGGCTAATCTACAATATTCTTGAAACCCTGATCAGCCTTTGAATACTTCAGCAGAAGCAGCTATTTATTCCCAGAGGATTAAAGAAAAGTTTGGCATAAGTAACTTTGGCACGCTTCTGTTTCTTAGAATTATATCTCAGAAGCAACACTATGGAGAGGAATATTTGAAGGTGTGATATTTAGCCATAAATACATACACATACGCACAGTCACAGTGGGACATGGTTCATGTGTTATCAGATTGTTATTTCTGCTTCAACAGCTCAACACAATACATGGAAACCATTAGTATGACCAACCAATTTGGGTTGTGGAGGTCACATGATCTACTTTGTCAAAGGAAAGAGACTATTTGATTCACTTCATTAAAAAGGGAGCTTGAAGGTAGATACATCTACTGGAGCTATCAAGTCTAGAAGAACACTTAGCCAACAGAGCAGGAGAAGGCACCTTAACTTTTCCACAGCCTCTAAAAACAGTACTGCTTTTCTACTTCTACACTATTAATATTCTTACATTAACACTAAATAATTTTGCATATCAAGCACCTACAGACTCACATACATAGACTATTGTAATTCTAATCCAAGCAACTGCCTTGAGATGGATAATTCAACATTTTTAAAAAAAAATATCTCTACTTGTTACATTGTTGCTAAATACATACAGCTTCTTCAAGGTGCTGATGATCTGGATGATCATTTGGTGTGTGCCTCAAAATCTCTCTGAGTAGCAGTGGATATTTCACCAGACGGCTGCGTGGGATATCAAGGAAATTCCATAAATCTAATTTACGACTGAAAGGTGATTCCAGGCAACGCTGTAGGAAGTCCTGCACTCTGTGGTCCTGTTTTTTATGGTCCAACAAAGCTTTAGCAGTCACTTGATTGCTGCAGTAACTATCGTAAGAATTCAAGAACGGCAGCTAAGAAAGAAAAGAAATGATAATAGGTGGCAGGAGTTTTGGGGTATTTGAGAGACCGCCTACTGCCAATTACCTCCAATAGACCGATTAGATCCCACAGATTAGGCCTCCTCCGAATTCCA